TACGAGCAGTGGTCAGCCAGTACCACCCCCACACCTCTGGCCAGCACCAATGTACATGTACAAGCAGAGGTCGGCCAGTACCACCCCCACACCTCTGGCCAGCACCAATGTACATGTACAAACAGTGGTCGACCAGTACCACACTCACTCGGCCAGTACCACCCTCACACCCCTTGGCCGGAGCACCAATATACATGTATAAGCAGTGGTCGGCCAGTACCACACTCACACCGCTGGCCAGCACCAATGTACATGTATAGGCAGTGGTCAGCCTGTACCCACATATATAGACAGCCTCACCTGAGTGGTTGGCCAGTACCACTCTCACACCCTTGGCCGGCACCAATGTGCATGTACAGGCCGGTGCTGGTTGGTACACATTCTACAGCCATTTGGCACATCCGGGGCACCACTTCTACATAGGGTTATGACTGAAGTATGTGCATATGACGGTTTTAGTAATGCGATGCCGCGATAGCGACAGCGTGCATTATGATCTCGACATGATTCTTGGTTCGTAGGGAAGAGCTTCTTCAAGCTCCTCCACACAGTATCAGAGAACCAATAACATTGTTTCTCGTATAGATGATAGGCGGGGGCTTGTTGGTTTACCAGAGATAGTACAATGGACACCTCGAGCGCTGAAGGGGCGGAAGGTGAAGAAAACAGGAGAGTACAAAGTTTTTTGTACTGCCCATATCTGGTAAGAAGGGGCGACGCTGCATCATGAGGTGAACCAAGCAGGGATACAGAGTCGAAGGCAGCGTTGTTTTCAGAAGATGAGGGAGAGATGATTTCCGACGACTGTTTCGAGCAACCATCTCGTTGGTGCACAGTACGGTCTACAGACACTACAGCCTCAGAGTTGGGATGGGTCCAATGTTTGAAGTAGAACACGAGGAATTCGTGTTCCACATCATCAGCGCATTTATAATACTCAATGCGACTAAGGGGACATTTGAGGTAACGGTTATCCTGGTTATCGTCCGTTGCCCATGAACACCAATCTATGACTGGCACGGCATTAGTAGGCCCATGTGGGCAGTGGAACCGTAGGTAAGGAAGTTCAGAAGGAGGCCGCTCTGCCATGAATGGATGAAAGAGCGCAGCTAGTAAACGAGTGGTCCAGGAGCTATTTCTTCGGTCTTGTTTTAAGGACATCACAAATTGTCAAGGGTTTGAACGTGTTGCTACAAACCTGATCGATGATCTCAGGTCTTTCCGGGTGCCGGGTAACATAGCTTGCCGGAGTGTTCCGGCACCACGCTAAGCGGAAGTATCCATGTTTTGTCAGGAGAACGGTATATTTGAGGCCATAGACACAACTCAGCAAGGCTCTTTGCACCGCCACCCATACCTGGGCTTTCTCTCCCACGTTTCCTCTGGTCCACGCCTGCTCCCCAGCCCACAGTTGGGAGTCTGTCGATATTCTTTCAGGGCGATCAGGTATGCTATGAAGCTCAGTAAGCTCTCTCCGCATTGCTCAAATGTTCCTCCAGCTATATACGCTGGACGATGATTCTGCCCAGATCAAGTGGACTTCCATCGAGATGGAGTGGAAGGAAGATTTGCAAGTTTCCTTCCCGAAACCATTCGACTTGGCCCGTTTCCTGGCAGCTACCATGACATTCATGTCAACTGTGGAAAAAGTTATGTTTTTTTCGACAACAAAGTCTTCATGAAGATCAATAAGTCTAGGCACGTACCCAGCCCGATTCGTGTTCCCAAAGATATGGTGCCGAGGAGCAAGGAGGGCATGATGAATATCAAGGGAGTCTCAGTAGTTAGTGGGTGACACGTTGCATTTTTGACACGTGAAGATACTGAATCGACCTTACAGCCCAAGAAATTACCGTTGAACTCACGGATTGTGCACGCACCGTAGGAACGAAGCTAAAGAAACGTGCTGATGCGTCGCAGGGTCAAAGTACAGCGCAGACGACTGGTATTGGTGGACACATGTCTGGTCGATTTATTCCCACTGCGGAACGAGGATCCATTGATCTAACGTGAGTACTTATTTTTCGCACTTAAAGTTATCTCACAATTGCTTAGAAACGGTCACATCGCAAGTTCGTGCCAACCTCTCCATCGTTTTCCTTTGAGGCGTACTGATAATTCACCCAGAGTGGAATGAAGAACTCCTGTTTCAACGGTTTGGCTCCCTTGGCTCCAGTCAGACGATGCTCTTCCTCCAGACACCATCCCATTTTCATTTACCAGGCCTCTCGATCGACAACACATTTCTTATTAATTTGTCGACGATGCCCCATCTAAAGCAACGGCACGCTCGTTGTCCTCATCTCATACACCTACACCTACATTATGCAACCATCCCACCGTCCACCCGTCCCCTTCCCCTTTTGGCAACACACATTATGCAACGGTCCCACCGTCCACCCATCCCCTTCCCCTTTTGGCAACACACATTATGCAACGGTCCCACCGTCCACCCGTCCCCTTCCCCTTTTGGTCAGACGCATTATGCAACCGTCCACCCGTCCCCTTCTTCTTTTGGTCACTGTGCCACATGCCGATCGTACGACCAGACAAGACTGGCTGCTGAGGGCTGCTCTGCTCACTTTAATAAGTGAGGAGCATATATCAAGATCTGTTCTTTCCCCATGATGCTGTATTCTCCTTCGGAAAGACCATCGCGGAAAAAGATAATCCGCATTGGTGCGGCCCTGCTGCATTCAGATCACTCGTCTGTGTTTTGCCAGTAGATATCGTCCCTGAGCATGATGCTAGCTATACAAATGTGCGACTGGAGGTAAATCGCCCCTAATTGACATTCTCAAACCAAGAAATGGCTGTCGCTGGACTAATTCACCTTCAATGTCCTCAATCTGTTCTTTCCCCATGATGCTGTATTCTCCTTCGGAAAGACCATCACAGAAAAAGATAATCTGCATTGGCGCGGCCCTGCTACATTCAGATCACTCGACTGTGTTTTGCTGGTAGATGTCGTCCCTGAGCGTGATGTGATGACTCCATCTGCTAGCTATACAGATCGCTCGTCTGTGTTTTGCTAGTAGATGTCGTCCCTGAGCGTGATGCTAGCCATACAAATGTGCGACTGGAGGTAAATCGCCCCTAATTGACATGCTCAAACCAAGAAATGGCTGTCGCTGGACTAATTCGCCTTCAATGTCCTCAATCCGATCTTTCCCCATGATGCTGTATTCTCCTTCGGAAAGACCATCGCGGAAAAAGATAATCCGCATTGGCGCGGCCCTGCTACATTTGCCAAATTCATCAATTGTAGTACCACACCCGACATATGTAGTATGCTCTCCGCCACGTCATGAAAGGCGGTGAGCAGCTTCTTTGATCTTGGGAGGGAGTCAGTTCATTGCTTTGTAGCACCTCTTCACACAGGTAGCAGAATAAATTCATGATATTCAGTAATACAAACAAGTGGAATGATGTAGCACTATTCAGTTAGTTATCTATAGCCCTGTTGAATCTAGTGTTGCGAGGGTCTAGTTCAGAGGGGTCAGTACGTGATGGCTGTCGGTGCTAAGAAACCACCCACCAAGAAAATTTGATCGCGTGATACGAAGTGCGAGTCCTGCAAGATCGTGTAACATCAAATGATTGAATCCGATGAAAATACTTACAGAGAATGTGGCAAGAGGGTGTCGGAAGGTAATCCATGTCGAATGAGCCATTAGCATGGTGCAAGGAAGTTCATAGTTGTGGCCGACGTCATCGACGTTGATCAAATCGGGCGACCCGCACGCCCACAGGTGAGACTAGGGTTGAGTCCCAGTGAAGAGTCGGACTAGTGATATTCCGGCCTGGCTTCAGACGGCTTGGGCTTGCAAAAAATCCAGGCTGGGCCAAAGCCACCAGCGACGGCTGGCTTTGGCTCGGCTCTGGCCTGAGCCGCGGCCCGAGTACTATAAATGTAAAATTATGAGTATGGGTTAAGATATGAACTTGAAGCACTCGCCTGTGCAGTAGGAGGGAAAGTGTGATAGGCCAGTGGGAACTGGCTAGGTAGAACACGAGGCCGTGCGATGGTCATGACCCCTGGGAGTGACTGCAGGACGTTGCAACGATCATTGATGATTTCCTGGGGGTAGAATGAGTCACGTCCATCGTCTGGGATTATCTGCAGAAAACTTACGCTGAATCGAAGTCGCTCGATAAAACTGCATGGAATTTCAGTAGCAGTTCCTGTTAAACATTCAGAATATGGCCTCAGGCCTCAGTCAGCAAGGTTTCAAAGTGACTTACTTACTCTCATCACGCCAAGATCGAAGCGTAAGTGCTCTTGCTTCCTCCGTCCCACCGGTCGCCTCGTTTAATCCACCTAGTAGCGCGGTCCTTGAACTGAAGGAGAGTATGCAGGCAAGATCTTGGCCAATCAGAACATCTGGCGTGCTCGCAGTGTATCCCCGAGCCTGCGGAAAGACATAGTAATGTCATCCCATCCGACAAGAACGAAACTAAGAAGGGAATTCAATAATGAAGAGGTTTTAGCAATTTAGAAGGACCTCCAAATCCTTACCCGTACGGGTGAACGCAGATACCTACATGATGGTAGCAATGTCGATTCAGAGTGACAATCGACGGCACTAGTTATGCTGATTTGCCAGTGGAATGATATTCCATGAGCTCGGACAGAAGCAATAATTTGTGGTGCCCGGGTTCTGTACGAGTTAAAAGGCCAATGGGTTGTGAAGAAATGCAGAATACTACTCACCCTCCTCTCATGCGCCGCTCAAAGAAGGCTGATGAGTCTTCCATCCAATCATACTTGTCAAAATCATCTTCGCTAGCATCGTCTCTGAAGTCTGTCAGTCAGGCAGTCAAGAAGAGTGTGGATGTGCTTACCTGTCCTTGAAGAGAGTCAAAACCGCCTTGCTCTCAAAAGAGACGCGCTCATCGTCATCATCGCTCGAACCATCAGTAATTGATGTCAATGCCATTGACACGGCGATGAAATCTGACAACGAAGAGGACCTGGATGCGGAACTTTGTAAGATTTTTGCTGATACTACAATGCCAGTGCCTTACCGAATCAATACAGAAAAACTCAAGAAGAATTGGCGTTCACCTGTCTATGTGTTTTTTGACACCGATCATGTTGGTGTTCAGAATGTGAATGGTCGTGTTTGCCACTTCTTCCCCTGTGCAGCACAAAAATGTAAGACAAGAATTGGAGGTGTTCGCCGTTTCCAGGACTCGAAAGATAAGGCTTCAACTGCTAATCTAAAGAGCCACGCCGTTGGCTGTTTTGGTGACGAGGCTGTCAAAGTTGCGTGCGTTGATAAGCAAGCGCCCGACTTACAACCTAGTGGATCAATTTTCAGTGCATAGTGTGGTGACGAAGACGAAGAAGAGGAAGCACAGTAGTTCTACTTAAGTTACTTGCGTATAGGTTGATAGATGATTGTAGGTTTCGTAGGTGGATGGCTCAGTGCTTGAGACCCTAACCCTAACTTAGGGTTTAAATTTGCGGGAGGAGGATGACTATTTGCCTTTTTGGGACAGCATAACCCTAGACTAGGGAGGCAATATGCGGGAGATGCAGTGGGATGGGCAGCGGCTCCCTTTGGGGACCGTGGCAGGTGAGAAGCCGATCGATTCTTGTGCGCACGTGACCTGTGAGCACTTCACAATGCGCGGTCCCCTGAGGGAGCCGCGGCTGCCCAAGAGAGAATAGGGGTCACGTGACGCAACGCGTCACTGTTCGTTGGTTCAACAGACGGACGCGTTGTGTCACGTGACCCCCGTTCTCCCTCGGACAGGCGCGGCTCTCTGAGGGGACCGCACATTTGTGAAGTGCACACAGATTCCATGTCGCAACGCGTCCGTTGGTTGGTTGAATCAACGTTGACGCGTTGTGTCACGTAATCTATGCTTTGACGCGAACATCCGCGGCTCCCTGGGGGGACCGCAATGTGAAGCGTTGCAGCGGGTCACGTGACGCGACGCGACGCGACCGTTGGTTGAATCAACGGTGACGCGTCGTGTCACGTGATCGCGTTGCTGACGTGGAATATGCGCGGCTCCCTGAGGGGACCGCGCACGTACTAAGTGCAAACAGGCCACGTGACGCAACGCGTCAACGGTGATTCAACCAACAGTCGCGTCGCGTCACATGACCCCCGTTCTCCCTCGGACAGGCGCGGCTCCCTGAGGGGACCGCGCACGTACTAAGTGCAAACAGGCCACGTGACGCGACGCGACTGTTGGTTGAATCACCATTGACGCGTTGCGTCACGTGGCCTGTTTGCACTTAGTACGTGCGCGGTCCCCTCAGGGAGCCGCGCCTGTCCGAGGGAGAACGGGGGTCATGTGACGCGACACGTCAGCGTTTGGTTGACTCAACGTTGTCGCGTCGCGTCACATGGCCTGTTTGCACTTAGTACTTGCGCGGTCCCCTCAGGGAGCCGCGCATATTCCACGTCAGCAACGCGATCACGTGACACGACGCGTCACCGTTGATTCAACCAACGGTCGCGTCGCGTCGCATCACGTGACCCGCTGCAACGCTTCACATTGCGGTCCCCCCAGGGAGCCGCGGATGCACTATGTCTGTCCACAGCGTCCGTCCACACAGGCAGTCTGGACCAATCACTGTCGACAAACACAGCCCCCACAGGCAGCCACCGTGTCCCATCCACTGCTCAGTCGAGTTTCTGGACAATGGTGCGTCCACCAGCGGAGTTTGAACTGCGTTCACAACGCCATCTCTCTTCCCTACTTATTCTTCTTTCTAGACCGTCTCATTTCCCTCCTCTTCTCAGCCTCACACGGAACATCCCAACCCACCCCCCATCTGCACCCCTGTCACCATCCTCTCCCATTCTCCATGGCTCAAATATCGAAGGCCAAACGGTCAGCCCGTCTGTGTTGGGCACGGGAAAGGCAGGCACGCTTGCCAGCTGCCAGGCAAGCGGAGGAACTTGTAAGTCATCGCCTTCTGTTGTGCATTTTACTAACCAACCAACCAACCAACCCATTGCACCCCATAGCTGAGAGTGCCCGCCGGTGCTGCTCAGCCAAGGCGCAGCAGGCCCAGACGCCAGGTTCAGGTCCCTGGACCTGGAGTGTATCTTGGCACGCGGTCGCGTGCTGGTGCTGCAGCGCCACTCCATGATGTAAGTCCCTCCCTCTCTCTCTTCATTCACATTGTCTGACCCAAACATAAGGTGGGTATGTTGCCCCCACCTGCGCCGTCACCCTCACCGTCACCCCCACCCACTCCTGTCATGTCATCCCCCCCGGTCATCAAGGGGGAGACAGGTGACGTCTTCCGCGTCCTCCCCAAGATGGAGGAACCCCTCACCATCAAGGAGGAACCCCTCCCCTTCAAGCTGGAGGATGCTAACTTGACGCAGGAGGTCATAAAGAAGGAGGAGATCAAGGAGGAGCCGGTCCTCCAGGATGTGAGTGATCCCAATAGCTGTTGTTGTTCTTAGATATACTCCATCCAATCTATCTGCTGTCTTGAAAGTAGCTACAATGATAGTTACATACTTCTACTTCACAACCTTCAAACTTTCAAGTGTAGTTCACCTACTCACCTACTCATCTAATCACAGGTTCGGGTCGACGAACGACAGGACGACGGAGTTGGGGGAGCTCGAGAATTTATATGGTCATTTCAGAAATACATTTCAAAGTTGTAAAAAAATATCTTCTGGTGGGCTGGTACATATGTTAGAGGGTACTTCCAGGATGGATATGAGCCAACAATCAAAGAAAACGGCGGTTGGGTTGTGGAGATATTGTCAAAATACTGACTTTTCAGCCCACTTGACATATCACATCATTGTCGACCTCTGGATGCTCCGGGACCATCACCAATCGATTCCTAGGCCTCAATAACCCCAGTAACATTGTTTTCAATATCGGTATTGAGGTACAATATCGGAATAGTGACATACAGGTGATCAGGGGGGGAGGAGGACCTTGTATATCTCAGGAATATGATTTTTCCAGGGAAATCTGGCATCACCACCGTGTTCAGAGGGCTCAAGAACCCCCAGGAAAAATACTTCTGAAGGACAGGCAAGTCACATGAAGGCTAGAAAAATCGATCTTTGGGTGGGGCAGCATGACAGGGGTGGTCAACTTTGGAACATGATTTTTAGAGCGAAATCTGGCTCGACCATCGTGTTCATATGGTCCAATAACCTCTAAAATGAATCATAGATAAAGCCAGGCAAGTCATATGAAGGCTGAAAAAATCGATCTTTGAGTGGGGCAGCATGGCAGTGGTGATCAACTTTGGAACATGATTTTTAGAGCGAAATCTGGCTCGACCATCGTGTTCATATGGTCCAATAACCTCTAAAATGAATCCTAGCTAAAGCCAGGCAAGTCATATGAAGGCTGAAAATATCGACCTTTGGGTGGGCCACCATGGCAGTGGTGGTCAACTTTGGAACATGATTTTTAGAGCAAAGTCTGGCTCGACCAATGTGTTCAGATGGTTGAATAACCTCTAGAATGAGTCCTACTTAAAGCCAGGCAAGTCGTGTGAAGGCTGAAAATATCGACCTTTGGCTGGGGCAGCATGACAGGGGTGGTCAACTTTGGAACATGATTTTTAGAGACCAAACTGGTATCACCGATCCATTCATATGGTTCAATAACCTTGAGAATGAGTCCTAATTAAAGATAGGCAAGTCATGTGAAGGCTAAACAAATCGATCTTTGGGTAGGGCACCATGACAGGGGTGGTCAACTGTGGAACATGATTTTTAGAGACAAATCTGGCATGACCATCGTGTTTATATGGTGTAATAACCTTCAGAAAGATTCCTAGTTAAAGCCAGGCAAGGAATATGAAAGCTGAAAAAATCAATCTTTGAGTAGGGCACCATGACAGGGGTGGTACTCAACTTTGGAACATCATTTTTAGAGACAAAACTGGTATCACCAATGCATTCATAGGGTTCAATAACCTCGAGAATGAGTCCTAGTTAATAACAAATGTGTCATATCAATGGGCTAGTAAATCAATCTTTGGATAGGGCACCATGACAGGGGTGGTCAACTGTGGAACATGATCTTTAGAGACCAAACTGGCATCTCCAATGCATTAATATGTTTCAATGATCTCAAGAATTAGTCCTAGTTAATGACAGATGTATCATATGAAGGGCCAGTAGATCAATCTTTGGGTAGGGCAGCATGATAGAAGCAGACCACTCAACTTTGCAACATGATTGTTGGATACAAAACTGATATCACCAATCGATTCATAGGGTCGAATAACCTCGAGAATGAGTCCTAGCTAATAACAAATGTGACATATCATGGGCTAGTAAATCGATCTTTGGATAGGGCACCATGACAGGGGTGGTAGTCAACTCTGGAACATGATCTTTAGAGACCAAACTGGTATCTCCAATTGATTCATAGGGTTCAATAACCTCGAGAATGAGTCCTAGCTAATGACATATGTGGCATATCATGGGCTAGTAAATCGATCTTTGGGTAGGGCACCATGACAGGGGTGGTAGTCAACTCTGGAACATGATCTTTAGAGATCAAACTGGCATCTCCAATCGATTCATAGGGTTCAATAACCTCAATAATGAGTCCTACCTAATAACAAATGTATCATATCACAGGCTAGTAAATCGATCTTTCATTAGGGCAGCATGATAGGAGCAGTCCACTCAACTTTGGAACATGATTTTTTGAGACAAAACTGATGTCACCTATCCATTAGTCCTACTTAAAGCCAGGCAAGTCATGTGAAGGCTGAAAAAATCGACCTTTGGGTGGGCCACCATGGCAGTGGTGGTCAACTTTGGAACATGATTTTTAGAGCAAAGTCTGGCTCGACCAACGTGTTCAGATGGTTGAATAACCTCTAGAATGAGTCCTACTTAAAGCCAGGCAAGTCATGTGAAGGCTGAAAAAATCGACCTTTGGGTGAGGCAGCATGACAGGGGTGGTCAACTTTGGAACATGATTTCTAGAGACAAATCTGGCTCGACCAACATGTTTCTATGGTCCAATAACCTTCAAGTCCAGGGAATCTGACAAACTCGTCACATACCTTAGCACTAGCTATGCGGCTCCCACCACTTCCTTTGCACTTCTGCACTATTTATCTGCTTCCTTTGTAGCTCCCCTTGTAGCTCCCTCATGCTTTTTTTTTTTGCATCAGAATTAGTCCTTTGGGGTCGTAGACCCTATGTTGGACATGGCTCATCGTTTGCTCTTTCTAGTTGTGTTGTTGGTGATATGGTACTATCGTGTTTGTTGAAGCGAACACGTACTCCCCACACCGTCTGGTGGGACAGCGCAAGTAAGCACAAATGGAAAACTGCGACAGGAAGGGTTAGTATAGGGAGTTGGATTCACTTGAACTTGTGGGTGGGTTGACTGTGGCGGTGATCGTGACATGTTCATTTGGGGTCAGGTGAATCTGTAGGTCCTTCCATGGTGTCGTCAGTGTCACATCGGGTGCAGCTCTCCGTTTGTCTTGGAGTAGGATGATGTTGTACAAGGTTGGGGTCGAGGTTGGCGGTGCATGTTATGTACGTGTTGGGCTATGTGCAAGATCCGGTAGTATATTGTACTGAAGTTTATAGCTTACCGAAGGTCATTTTGAACCGTCCTGTGCTGTTAATGAATCGAGTGAGGTGGGGGATGGCCTTGTCCGAGGTGAGGAGGTAGGGTAGTGAGGTTGCGTCGCGTCTGAGGGCATTTGACAGGAGGTGTCGTTCGTTTCGGTATTGAGGACAGTCGAAAAGGAAGTGGTGAATCATTTCATTGAGCTCGGGACATATTGGACAGAAGGGCGTGTCACTATGGTTGATGCGATACAGGTGTTGGTTGAGCGGGATGTGTCGGGTGCCCAGCTGAATGTAGAGGCTGGAAGTGCATTTCGGTAGACCGTCGACGAGTTTGAGGAAGTTTCGATGGCATTGATGGGTTGATGTTGCATGTGCGGGCATAGCGAGGTGACTTCTCCCAGAGAGACTTCCATTGAATTCGTGATTTGGTCTTTTGAGCAGCTTAGTTAGATTGGTAACCTCCTCCTTCACGCTCTAGCGTGTCCTTTAACATGGCTTGAGTTTCCTCAAATGTTTTGGCTACTGCGATATAGGCGGTATCATCGACGAATGCCAGGGAGATCTCCTCTCATCCTTGTCCTATGCGTCCTCTGGCTTCATCTACTAGATCGGAGTTATATATGAGATAGCAGATCATCGAAAGGGGATCACCTTGACCGATTCCATTGTTGACTGGGAACCATTCGGAGGTGAAGTCATCAAATTTCAGTTGGGTGCGTCGTCCAGTGATCGTGGCTTCGAGTAGATGTACTGAGTCACTTGTGGATCGTCCTGGTCGTCCGCCAAAGTGGTTCGAGGGAAGAAGCTCGTGTTTCTCGAGGATGTGTGTGAGTTGACAAGTGACTATGGCGGTTAGAAGTTTGCATGTGGTGTTGATGAGGGCTATCGGGCGATATGCTTTAGGGATCAAGTAGTCGGCTTTCCCGGGTTTGCGTAGGACTACAGTTGTAAGTTCCTTCCAAGGGTCGAAATATGTATGGAGAGTGAAGACAGCATTAAATAGGTGGGTGAGATAGGGAATGAGAGCGGGGGCGTTGCGTTTGAATACAATGTTACATATACCGTTGGGCCCTGGGGCCTTGTATGGGCTGGTATCTACAATAGCATGTCGAACATCATCTTCCTCGATGGATTTGAAGGGGGTCAATGGGTCGGGGTATTCGAAGTTGGCTGGGACGGTGCAGGTGGCTGGTGCAGGAGGGAAGAAGGATTGAGCGAGGATGGTCCTTTTCTCGTCGTTAGTGACTGCTTCCTTTATCGATCCGTCGGCATTTTTGGTGTGGAGTACTGGAATTCATGCCTTACTGCCATCGCTACTTGGGGTCATGACATATTTGTTCGCTATCCATATTTCTCGTTGAGTGGCTTCTTCAAGGAACTGCGTCCAGTGCTCTTTCTTGGCTTTGTAGATGGCATCTGAGACTAGGTTACGGAATATTCTGTGTTCTTTGTGAGAGGGGTGATCTCTGACTGCCCGATACTTATATGATAGTTCGCTTAGTTCATGTTTCTTTTCTAGCATCTTCGATAGATCGCGGGTCCACCATCGTTTGGCGTGTGGGTTCGGTCTGGATTTGGGTAATTTCGCCTCAATGACATCATGTAGAACTCTCGTTAGTGCAGTTGCGGCAGTTTGGAATTCATCTAGGGTGGCGAGGATAGCTGGGTGTGGGATCATTCGTAGTTTCTCCTGCAGATGGGTATTAAATTCCTCCCAGTCGGTTTCGCGGTAGTTGTAGCTGATAGATGTGGTAGCTTGAGGAATTCCTAGATCAAGTGTGCTCAGTATGGGGACATGGTCGGTTTTGGGGGCGCGGAGACGAGGTGCTGTATCGCAGATGATGAACGAGTCTAAGGTGTTGTCGGAGCAGATGACATTGTCGGGGCGAGTCCAGTTGCGAGAACTTGTGGATTGAAGGGTCGGTTTGTCCTTGGGTAGCGCTTGGCACATGCCATATTCTGCCATGAGTTCCAGCCAGTTCTGGGCTTTAGCTTGAGCATCTCAAGGTTCGAATAAGTGTCGGTCATGTTCTTCTTCCCAGAGGGGGTGATGGCAATTGAAGTCCCCTAGCCATATCATATGGTCGTCGGCTGTTGGTCGTGCTATCTGGATGTTTGATTCTAGGTACTGCTGGATTGCTAGAGGTGAGTCTTGTTTGTCGCCAGCCGTTGTATATGTTGAAGAGGGTTAGTTTGCCGAATGCACCGTTGAATTGGATGACAACTATGTCTGCAGAGGGAAAGGGGAGTTGTCGCCAGTTGTCAGTATCGATGCGTTTATGAACAAGTGTTACCGCCCGTGATCGCTTGGAGTGGGTGTAACGGTAGGATGGGTATATTACACGCCAGTCCGGAGTGGCTCTCGTGTTACCTTTGGTGTCTATGGTAGGTTCTTGGATCGCTATTACATCCCAGTTTTGAGTGGTCGAGTGTCTGCTGAGGACACAGTGTTGGGCATCGGGGGAGGTATTAAGGTTCTGTTGCCAAATACGTAGTCTGGTCACGGAGTTGTCAGGTGTGTTGATCATTCCCAGCCTGATGTGTCATGGTTGTCTTCCGTGAGTTCCATGGCGCCAAAGAAGTCCTGTGTTTGTTGGGGTAGTTGATAGCGGGGGGAGAAGCGGTGGGTATGGTTCGGTCTGTTCAAATACGAGGTTAGTGTTCTTTGCGTTAGAGGAGGGGGGCGTGATTCTTTCGGAGGCGGAGGAGGTTTGCGATAGGGGGCAGGTTTCGGAGGTGCTGTGACTAGAGTCCATTCCTCGGTTGTCGGGAAGAAGGGCATGGTGTTGTCCAGATAGTGTTTGTCGGTGTCTTCGCATTTCTTCCTAAAGGTGGGGCAGTCACGGCTCCAGCTCGAGTGATCCTCAGTTTCGCATGAGGTACAGTATCTCTTGTCATTGGTGGTGCAGTCATTGGTGCGGTGGTTGTTCCCGCAGTTTGCACAGACATCTCCTTTGACCTCCCTCATGCTTACTGTCATACATGACTAGAGGTTGGTCTATTAACATATTGGTTCCCTTCACACCATATTTTGTGAGCTGCTTGTTGTTGACGTAGATGCAGGCAGAAAAGGTGCCCCAGATTCCTTGCCTTCACACACACAAAGGATGTCCGAAACTATCCCCTTCACTGATACCATCAGAATGGCGATCAGCCATTGACTCAGAGTGATCATCCGCGCACCATCCACAGTTGTCATTTGATATCTATGGACATTTGAGAGACAATTACCAAGTACTCTAAGAGTGCTGTGATGGAGTTACAAAGAGAGACATTTAACAAGCCACAGTCAGCCAAGAAGCGAAAGTTGGTGAAATCTAAGGACTCTGAAATCCTTTTTGTCTGTGTTGCCATGCCTCTCATACAAGGGTCCAGAAACCTTGCCTTCACACATACAAAGGATGCCCGAGACCTCGGACTTCACCAACGTTGGCTTCTTGGCTGCCTTTTGCTTTGCAAATGTCCCTCTGTGTAGCTCCATCACAATTTGACTGATGTTATTGGAATGGGCATCAATCATTGACTTGACTCAGAGTAATCATCTGAACTGTAGTGTTAGAACAAAGCTCCGGATTCCATTCTCGTTAATGTAACATGTTGGTTACTTTTACATTGTGTTGGCTTCTCGTGATCAATAAATACTTCTTCAAAGAAGTGACCACAATCCATTACTTCTGTTCCAAATTGGAATTACTATCGGACTCTTCCACTGGTTTAGATAATAGCCATTAATCAGAGCGCAGATTTTGGGGATGTGATATACATCTTTGATCTCTGACTGTCCATCCACGAGCTCCTGGATTTTCATTGCTCATCACCGACACCCCACCAGAGTACTGTAGCTTTTAGTAATAGACACAACATCAAGATGTTGGATCATCTGTCCACAAGAGTCTACATATACCCAGCCTGTTGCTAATCATCTTGTAAATTTATTCAATATATGTTTTGGTGATATTCACATCACTTAGTCAGTAACCTGCTCGTTGTGAATAGATACTACGAGAACAGTGATCGCAATCATACTTGTCAGAAGCCCAGAGTGACTGGATCGACCCTTTGCAATGATTCCAGTGAACATCTGTGGTAATAATAACACGAGCAGACCTTTGGCTTAGACCATGGTGATCTTGGTTGATATCAGGTTGAATGAACATGGCAAATTGACAACCATGGGGTAAGTAGATACACTAGGTTCTGTCCTCAGCGGTGTTGGAGCTACATCTATACTCTACTCCACTTATATTTATATACTAATCAACATCCATTTCTTCGTCTCCTGCCATTGGGAAAGGCCTGCACTTGTGAGGCCGTGGGGGAGGGGGCACCCTCTTGTTTCTCTTTGCCAATGTCATTTTCTTCTGAAACTCCCGACGCTTTTGCCTCTCTGTTTTCCTTCTCAGATTACCATCAGTGTCGAAGGGATGTGAGTCCATCAGATCAGCTGCGAATACGCGCTTTCCCTTGATCAGCTTTGTTGTACGACGTGCCCTTGTGGCTCTCTTCTGACTGTTGCCCCCCCTTCCAATGCAGTCAATCTTATAAAATGCAGGGTTTGTCATGAACACGATGGCATCGTTGCGTTGCGTCCAAACCCTTGTACCACTCGCAGGAAGACAGTGGATGTCCGAAAATATCTCGGTTAATCCTTGCTTCAGCAATGTGCGCTGATCCTCGCCCATTGTCGCTGTTATCCTGTGGAACTCTGCTATGTATCCATCTCCCTCCCATAGCGTGGACCATTGGGTGTTGTTTTTATGTGGTGCATCAGGGTCAGGAAAGAATAGCGAGCACCTGTCCACAAATGCTCTTGACCTTGGACCCATCCGACCAGGAGTGACACCTGTATGGTCATGCAGCCCAGCATTGGAGGCTTCGAATGTGACCGCAGCTAGGGTGTCGTCGACGCTTGTTATTGTCCAGCATTTCATGGCCTCCTGGAGTGAGTTTGGGTGTGGTCTGATTCCCTTCAAGACCTCGGGTGTGAGCATTAGCCAAACGTGCTTTGTGAACATGATGAATAATCGTCCGACGGACAGTCCTGTGTTCGATAACCAGGATGACCATGCCCATGGTCTCATGATTGTGGCAGGTGAACTGGCCACAACAGCTTTGAGTCGATTCCAAGTTGGTTTTCGGCCGAGAGGATAGTCTTCCAGCTCCGGCTCAGTACTTTGAAAAGACTCCAGCCTTCCCACTGCTCTATCCCTTTGAGCCTTGGCATTAACACCCATAATAGCCAGCACATTCACATCGTCGACTTGCTGCACTGCGTCCAGGCATGCATCGCTGCCGACATCAAATTCCTGCAGGAAAAACATCCCTGCTGTCTCCAGTACATTTCTGTATTCGAGGAGGGCAAGTGATTCACGGACGTGAAAATCATAGATGATCGGGGTAGATGTTGTCGAACGAAGCATGTGGTTGAGCAGGCCAGTGAGGATGCCGAGATTGGGAGGATTCTTTTTGACAATAGCAATCTGCGTCCTTTGAATCTCCCGCACCCTGCGCTTCATGAACTCGAACCAGATTTTCGATGGTATCCACAGGATTGGATCAGACTGCAGATATTCCATCGCCTGCAAATGAATTGTCAACACAAAGACATGATTCAGCCCCCTTGCGACTCATTGATGCACCATGGATGACTGACTGACCTTGCTTTCTATATTATCCAGAATTATTCTGGCCGCCTGGCCGCTCACCCTATATTCATCCCTCACTCCATATGTTTTTCCCCTACAACCATCGATCACCTTGCATATTTGGAAGCATTCAGCCATATAGGATGGTGCAAGCTTGTAGGCATCACTGTCCGATGCGAAGTTCACCTGGTTGTTGTTTGTTCGGATGGATTCATAGTAGAGATTGTAGGTGCTCCTGAATGCGATATGGGTTTGCTGTGATCTCTCCTGCTGCATCTCTGCCTGCAGCGCACCATATCTTGAGAGTGTGTTGTGATGATGGATCTCGCCTCTCTTGTAACCCCCTGCTCCGAATGATGCTTCCAAAGCATCTAATCTCCATACTCCAACGACTGGGACATCTGGGGAGTGAGGTGTGAATGAGATACCAACATCCACCAACAGCTCGCCGTGGCTCCTGTCTATCATGTATGGCCAGTCGAGGTCAGGGAGGTTGCTGCAAAGGGCCTCTTCTGGACCTCCAAAGCGCCCTCGTTGTCCATCCTTCGTAAGTAGCTTTATCCCCTTGCCCTCCAGAATGAAAAACAAAGAGCCATACATGCTGAGCTCAGCCTCACCATCGCGAATTCGATCATGCATGCGGTTCTGTACGTCCCTGAAGTCGTCATCTGACAGTGGAATTGATTTGGGGGGTGTCCATCCTCCTTGGCGCCTCCCTGCTCCCTTTGCCTTGTATCGTGCCTCCTCCAATGTGTATTTCAGGTACGGCTGCCAGCTGACATCGGTGCAGTCTCCTATAGATGGAAGCAACACCCTGTCCCAAAAGATGTCCTGTACCTCCTGTGGGATCAGCGTGATTCTCCGACCATTCACTGGGTGTTTGTGAATCATCCTTGGGAATGCGATGTAAAGATTGAGTGTTGAGGCAGCTGATGATATGCGCCCAATGCAGGCGTGAGGAATGGCAGACATCGGCATTCGTTTGGATAGCCATTCAGTCCTCCCACCAGGAGTGTTTGCGTCTTCTTCCGACTGTGGAATTGTGATCTCTACATATGTGTGATTGTGCTTGTAGATCCCAGGTTTCGTTTGAAATGGTGGCGTGACATAGATCCCAACGCTGCCTGTGCATCGGAATGTTTTGGTAGTCCATATGATGCTGTCTATGTCCACCGATCTCTCTATCTCATCTTCCGAAAATTTAATTGCATCTTGTTCGAGGTCCACATAAAATGCTGGTCCTTCTCCATAGCGATGGCTGGCGTGGCCACGGACAAAGGCGTCATGTCCGAACCTACACTCATCATGGAGTGGTGGATCGTAGTGTGCAAAGTCGATGATCTGAGAGGGGGAAAGTATTTCTACATCTGTGACCTGTGTGTGCCGTCCACCCTCATCCAAACCCAGTCGCTCCAGGGTATATGCGCCTGTTACACGATCCGGAATCTGTTTTGAAGCATCATAGGAGGCGGTGGTGCCGATTGACATGATGTGGTCCATAGTTGCGATAGGGTCACATTGATAGAAATTGTGGAATGCGCTTCGGGTGATTCTATAACCATGATCAACCCAGTCCAACCACGCAGTGGACACCTGCATCCCTCCAGCCTGGAATGTCATCAAGGTATTGTTTTCCCTCGGAGATCTTAGCATTTCTATTGTCGGTCCACCCTCATAATCATCGAATGTGAGTTCATCCTCAAGCCATCGTCGACCGTTATATGCAGCCAGGGCGACTGGTGCGATGGGACGTGGAAAGCGTTTGTTGCTTCCAAGATGCCAGTTGGAAACTCGCCTACGAGATGCAGAGGCCGATCCAGAACGTTGTGAATCAATTGGACCTGAACTGTTGATGTCTGCAGTAAGGTCATGTTCGAGTAGAAGGTGCGTTCCGATCGAGCGAGGGGCTATGGCACTACGATTCCGAGATCCGGCCAGTTCATTGTTAGTTTTGAACAGTCGCGCAAGTCTGGCCTTCCTATCTGCAGGTAAGCCTGTGCCAAGGGTATCATCGTCTTCATCTTCAACATCCTCCGCACCATCATCATCCACTGGAGCTCCACCGTCATTCTGGCAAGGGTGCGATGTGTTCTCGACATCCTGGGTGACGATGGGCCGTTGGCATGTTGAACAGGTAGCG